ATAGAACTAAACACAGTATTAATCCCATAATAAGGCAGATTAGTTCCCAAAATTGGAGCTGGGGCCCTCCTCTTTTTTCCTTTTTTTTTTAAAAGGCCCTCTAAAAAAAAAAGATAAAAAAAATATATAGATTGAAACAAAATAAGTGGCACTCTTCTTAATAAAGCCAACTAAATTACTTAATAAAGCCTAAGCCAATGCTTAGGAGGCCTTGCTATTGAAAATTTTAAAAGTGCTTTAACTTGGTTTTATTTATCAGTCATAACAGATATAACCCAAGCCCTACACAGCCTCAGTTCAGGCTTGGGAAGTTTCCTCATTTCTACAGCTATTTTCAAATAAAAAATATCCCTGAGTCATTTTTACATATTAGTCTAATACACAACACCAATATCATCTCTGGGGACACTTTCCCTTTTCCAGGAACCTATTTGCTCTCAATTTTTTGTTTAGAGGCAAATTGTACCTGCTCATCATTTGAGGCAGAGAATGGAGGAGGATGTTCCCATATAATTAAGGCAGGAGAGGAAAAGAATAATCAGAGGCTGCTCCATTGTGATGGACACTGGGGGTCTTGGTTCAGATGTTTAATGGGTCTTTGCACACTGAAGTGCCCAATGAGCATCACAGAAGACACAGTGACCAGTTGTGGCTCACAGCCAGGTCATCTGCTCAGGAAAATCAAGGAATGTTCTGGAACTTGCCACACCCTTAAGGCTCTCCTTACAGGTGGAGATTAGTGTGCAGGGAGGAAAATGATGCTCACAGCAGGGCTTAACACTTTTACCCCCAGTGTGAGTGACATGAGCAGCACATCTCAGACATTTCCCCATTGCTAGCAAAAGCAACTGCAACCCTCCCAAGCACCTAAAGGCAGCAGAATTCTGTAGGTTCCCCTCTACTCTAGACAGCTCTTATTTGCTTAAACCACCTCAAGTATTTCTATTATGTTACAGGGAATGTGTCTTGTGAGAACTGGAAATCATATCCAGCTCAAGCTTGTCTTCTAAATGAGGACACCAAGGAAAAACTCAAGCAACTTTTTCCCCTCTGCTCTAGACAGCTCTTAAGTATTTGCTTAAACCACCTTGAGTATTTGTATTAGGTTACAGGGAATGTGTTTTGTGAGAATTGGAAATCATATCCAGCTCAAGCTTGTCTTCTAAATGAGGACACCAAGGAAAAACTCAAGCAACTTTTCATCCCACACAACTACACCCCTGCTCAGGACAGAGTATTGAACTCCAGGGAAGGACCCGAGTTGGAAAGAAGGCACCAGACAAGTCAAGTTTTCAGTATTGACCTTTATTGAGCAAGAACTGCTGTGACTTTTACATCAAACAACAAAAGGTTGCATACTGTGCATGTCAACTAGGTTCTCCCATGAGCAAAAGTCCATCCTAATTGCACCAGTGAGGTAAACATAATTTATAAGTAGCTTTTTTTTAAGGCTAGGAGAGTTCTGGTTCTCATGAATATTCTATTACTGTTTTCTGTTTGGTTTTGGCTCAGTTGGTTCTTTGCATAATACATCTTAAGTCTTCCTCAGATATGTCCCTCCAACAGCTCAGGAAATTCAAAAAGCTTCCTTTGCACATTTCATCTCATGCACTATTAGTAGTATTATTTTTTATTTTTTTTTTTTTTGTTTTTAGATTCCCAAGCTCTGTGGAGGGAGCACATCTTGAGCCTGCATGCATTCCCCCCCCCTCCCCTATATTGCACAAAAAAAGTAAAATACTGTGTGTCTGGAGCCTCCATGAGAGAACCCATTCTGCTTTGAAGCCGTCACTCACATGCATTTTGCTGCTGTCATATGGCTTAACCTTTTGCACCGACCCAAGCTCTTTAATTTTTTTTTTTTTAATTTAGCTATGATTTATTTTATTCGCTCTCTTTAATCTCTTTTACTACAGCATGTGAAGTAACTTTCTCTACTTTCTTGGTAGACACTAATTTCTCCTCAAAGCTTTCTTCGTGTTCCTCTACCTTCTGAGTGACCGTCACCGACTTGGTGATATACGTGGTTGTACTGTCCCCACCTTCACCAGTGATCTTCTCTGCTTTTTTGGTTACTACGATTTTCTCACCTTTATCATCAATTGGACTCACATCGAGGCCATTGGTCACAACTCCCTTGTCTTCCTCCTCCACCTCCTTCTCTTTGGATCCCTCTTCCTTCTTCTCCTCCACCTCACCGTTCACGGCGATATCTTCTTTCCTGGACTCCTTCTCCACCTCTGCGCTGATCTTCGTGACCTTGGTGACAGTGATGGTCTCCTCCACCGCTGCCTTTGCATCCTTCACTGGGGAGGGGGGCTTCTCTGGGGAACGGGGCTTCTCTGGGCTCGCTGGCTTCTCTGGGGAGCGGGGCTTCTCGGGGCTCGCTGGTTTTTCTGGGGAGGGGGGTTTCTCTGGGCTCGCCGGCTTCTCTGGGGAGCGGGGCTTCTCCGGGCTCACCACCTTCTCTGGAGAGGTCACCTTGAGTGTTGCTGCCTTCTCCGGAGATGCTGCTTTCTCTGGAGGTGCTGCTTTCTCCTCCTCCTTGGCTGGTTTCTCAACAGCTTTCTCCACCTTCTGCTCTTTTCCTGCTTCCTTCTGGGCAGCCTTGGCCGGCTCCGTTACAGGGGACTTAGGGGGGGATTTAGGAGGTGACTTTGCGGGAGGGGTCTTCACCTTTTCTACCTTTGCGGCTGCCTCTTCAGCTTTGCCCTTGGCCTCAGCTTCTTCCCCACCTTCCTCGGCCTCCTCCCCTTCTTCCTTTTCCTCTATTTCTTCTTTTTCAGAACCTCCTTCTTCCGCTGCATCAGATTTTGCAGCTTCTTCTTCCTCCTCTGCTTCCTCTTCCTCCTTCTCTTCCTCAGGTGCAGCTGCTTGTTCTGCAGCAGCCTTCTCAGAAACAGCTTCTTCCTCCACAGCTGCTTCTTCTGCCTTTTCTTCCTCCTGCTCTTCTTGCTGGGCCTTGGCTGCCATTTCTTCTGCAATAGCTGCTAGGGCATCTTCCATCTCAGACTTTTCATCCTCCACCTTTGTCTCTTCAATGATTTCTTCTACAAACTTGTGCTGGACCTTCAGCTTTGGTGGTTCAATTTTTGTTTTCTGAATTTTAGTGGATGCTATTGTGACAGATGGTTGTCTGTGCGTGAATATGGGCCCAGTAATGCTTCCAGAGAAGGCACTGAATCTTGTCTCTTCACCCTCCAGTAGCTTCCTAAGGGAAACAGGAGGAGGAAAGAAAAAAAAATGAGCATAGAAACTCAGCGTAAGGGATGGAATTAGTCTTAGGATATTTCCCTGTCAGCAGGTTGAAACCAGGTTTAAGTGGAATATGCTAGAACTGATCAGTATGATCCATCACCCAGAGCCCTAGTTCAGCTTTCCTTGAATCAGCTCTTTTGCAAAATTCCTATTCAGCAAACAGCTTTTAGTTTGGTTTGCATGTGGCAAGTGTAACACCTTCAGCTGATCCGCTGACGTTCATCCTTAATGTCAAGGACTTCATTATGGCAGAAGTCAGCACAGCGTGTGGCAAAATAACTTCACAGGATGCACTATGACTTAGGCAAACTGAGAATTTGACACAGCCAACAGACCCAAATCAAATATTGTGGCACAGACCCTCAAAACCAATTAGAGCATACATCCTATAGTTTGGGCTTCCACCTCTCCTGTGTGGCTATGAAAGCCAGAGAGACTTGTGTTCGGCTAACCTGGGCAGCAAACAGCTATAGATGCTTGGGTACCTGCATGTTTACCTGAACAGCCTCAAGCATTTTAGCAGATCTGGAGATAGGGTTTTTTGTTTCTACTTTTCTTATATTCAAATACACGTTTTTCATCTAAGCCTGTGACCCAGAAAAGTCAGCAGCTCTCCGATGAGAGTTCTGAAGTGATGCAGAGGAGACTAAAAAAACCTGCCAGGCGATGGCAATAGCAAGCAATGTTCCTGCTCCAGATTAGAGTGGATGCCTTTATAGAAAAGTTGAGCAAGAACAGCAAAAGTGTTTGTGACAAGCACTCCCTGCTTGAAACCATGATCAAGCAAGTGCACTGTCTCTCTCAAGTGATAAAAGGGGACTCAAGTGACAAGCATCACTTGCTTGGCGTATGCAAAGCCAACTAAATGGGAATTAGAAATAAACTTGTCTTCTGCTGCATCTTCTGCTATTGTAAACACGGGCAGAATGCGGCACCAGGGTGCCACTGCACTGAGTCATGCTGTCCTGTGCCCACTGAGCACGCTGGGGCTCTGCCACTGATTACCAGAGAGCTGCTCCCTAACGAGCTCTGGGTTCTTACTGCAAACGCTTCGTGGTCTGTGTAGGTTTTGGAACTGTGGTGGTAATTTAGTTAAGCTCTAATTTGACTTGTGTTCACCGCCTGCAGATACTTCTTATGAGTGGCAAAGCTTCCCAAGCCAGAAGCATCTGCAGTGCTATTAATATTCCACACACATCTGCAACGATCCTACTGTACCTGTATGCAGCAATTTCAATATCCAGGGCCATCTTGACATTGAGGAGGTCCTGGTATTCCCTCAAGTGACGTGCCATTTCCCACTTCGTTCCTCTAAGCTCATTCTCCAGCTGATGAATCGTGTCCTGCAAAGGAGAGGCAGAAAACCCCTGTGACACGGCCACACGCTGCGGGCAGGGATGCAGCAGAAAAAGTTCTCGGAGAGGACTTTCAGAAACTCTTCCCGCTGCCCCGGGGTGGCAGGACCGGAGCGGGACCCACCCGGCTCCCCCCAGCATCTCCCGCCGACCCCGGAGCGCAGCCCGGCATCCCCCCAGCCCC